TCTTAAGGCCAAGGATTCTGAAGCGCAGAGAATGCGAAAGCACGCTCCTAGGGTCCCCTTGAGGCAGAGAACTGCCAGCCGACTGAAGCGAAGGCAGAACGACCGAGGCGAAAACCAGAAGCCTCTCCTGAGAAGCCCAAAGAGAGCCAAGAGCCTTAGCCAGAGCGTTAGGACAGCCGTGAAAAGCAAGAACCGCTTCGGCCTTATCGGGTCGAACATGGTCAAAAGCTTTGGTTTAATCCAGACTCCCGACGTAGCTACCTTGCTCAGCAGCTTCGACAATGCTCAAGACGGACGACATGACATCGAATTTTCGACGACCTCCAGTGATGAAGTCAGGAAGAATCGATTGCATCCAGTCTTGTGCCTCCGCAGTCCTAAGCCGGGCGCTAGCCCAAATCCTGAAACCGACGCCACACAGATGGGTCTCATAGCCGAAGCCTTACTGCAGTAAGAGGCCTCACCTTCGGAACTCTGCGGTTTAGGAATGTGGGCCTGCTTGAAGAGGCTAAATTCCTTCGGAAAACATCCTGCAAGCTCACACGTACGAAAGAAAACCGCAAGGTGCTCCCGTGTCTCTTCAGGATAAGACAGAACCTCGTCAGGGCTTCACTGGTCCAACCCGGAAAACCGCACGCAAGAAACTCATGAGCAAAAACCGAACTCCAAGTTTGCTCTTCGAAAGGGCAACCCGCTTCAAGGAGGTGCTCCTGAATGTTCTGCTCACCTTCCCTATCACGATCCCAGATGCGTCGCCAGAACTGGGCTAAACGGAGAAGGGCCTCATGAGTGGACTGCGTACCATGCTGGAGCTCAGAGGGAGCCTCGTCGTCGTAGGTTAACCGGATCTTTATGACCACGAAGCCAAGCGAAGCAATGTTTGGTGTCACTGCGGAGTTTTTGACGCCATGCGCCAATCTTCCTACCCGAAACAAGCTTCTCATGAGCCTGAAGCCTAGCATAAACATGCTGAGAAGAAAGACCTTCAACCCAGTAAGACGACAGTCTAATCTTCCTAGCGAGAGCATCGAGAGCCTGAAGAACCCTGGCCTGATTACTCTCGTCACAGGCAGAAACCTGAGAAACGTGAGGAGTACGCTTCACAAACTTAGGCCTGCCACCTTTAGACGGAAGCAAACGATCCGCACCCTGAAACTGGCAGCCCGAATTGCCGAGGAAGCGCGAAGCAAAACATGTTCAAGCCTGCCCTGCCATAAAGACCAAAGATCGTCAACCCTTTGCTGCTGATCATCCCTGCTAGCCAGTACGGCATCGCACTCCGGCTGAGCCTGGTTCAAAGACCAGCTGAGAGCAGTCCAAGCATCACAGACCGCTTTGCTCCACCGCCCCACATCGTCAGGCGAGGCTGGAAAGAGTTTAGGGGCCTTCTTGAGGACCTGAACCACAACCCTGTCGTAAGACGACCAAGGAACCTGAAGCAACAGAGCCTTATGGTCACTATAGCGAACCGAAAGAAAAGAAGCCTGGGCCCCACAAAGAGAAGTGAGCCTGTAGTCAATCAAACGGTTGGCAAAATTCTTTGGGCGGCCAAACGGACACTCCACGCAACTCAAGCCATCCAAGGCCAAGCTCCATGTCCGACATTACGTCAGGAAGACAACTCGCTGCCAATCATGCCGCATCTGCCACGGCATACGGTACGACAGTCGGCGTCAAATACACCTGCTACACCAGTGTTCCTTGACGCACAATCGGGATGGGATTTCCAATCGGGTCAATCAAGGCGGAATCTCCTTTCGCCATCACAGTCCAGAAGTCCTGCAATAGCAGTCTTGCCACACCAACCAGGGGAACAGTATCCCAGTGCACACGTGGAATTACACACTCAACGAGTGGCCACTGCCACAAGCAAGCTGCACAATAATTCGACCTTGCACATCCACGGTGTCTTGCCAGACAAGCTTCGCAGTGACCGGGCACTCTCATTCAATGGCAAAACAGGATAGCAACAGTTCCCGCAAGCTCCACTGTCGAACAGTATCCACGACTTGTCAACAGTCCAGCCTGCAAGAAACTCTACCATTCTATCGTCAAAAGCCATGGGATCAAACTGTGGAACATTCCTCGGGGCGAAAAGTGGCACTCCGACAGGTTTGGTGGCATTGTGATCCTGACTTTCCACAATCACTGCAGCTGCAACCCTTGGCGGTTTGTTCTATAGGCGGGGTCCTGAGGGACATTACCCTGGGATCCGAACCCAGCCGTGGAACTAGATTGTTCCACATTCCACCAATCTTGCCAGGACCAGTCATGGGACCGGTAACTCCAGTCGTCATCAGATCAAGACCAGTAGAACCGATCCACTCTTGACTCCAGTCGTGGTCATCCCAAGACGATCAATCATCATACCAGTCACCATCTTGACTCCATTCCTGATTCCATTCACTTTGCTGGTTTACCTGCTGTCCTTCCTCTTCAGTCACAGCTGACATTCTACCTTTTCCTCCTTTCGGGCATTCCTTGCTCGAGTGGTTGGTCACCATTTTCAGTCCTTGTCTTTTTCCTTTTCGTTTGTATCCTTTTGGTCTTTCCTTTTCCTGTGCCTTTGTACATTGCTTTGCCTTTGTATCCTATACCTTTTCCTTTGCACATTCCTTTGTCTTTCATTCCTTTCCGATTCCTTTCCCTTTCCGTCCTTTATTCCCTTTCAGTGCTCCTGTGTCCATGACGGCTTGGCCTGGTGGCCATTCCTACCGCTTGGCACAGTCAGGTGTCTGCTCTTAATATAAGTGTAAAACATCTCAAGTGCTTCATTGAAGGAAGGTATTGATGCTACGAACATTCAACCGCAAATGCTGCTGCAATGGACCAACGGTCTTCTGCATTAACAATGTGATCGAGATGTCATCGTCCAGTGGCCTGCCAGTCGTCTTCTCATGTCTATGCTTCAACATCAGGAACTCACTTAGGTCACTCTCCAGGTGATCATTTCTCAGGCGGAAACCAATGATCTCATTCAGAAAGCTCGTGGCTCTCGCTCTTTCGGGCAGTCAGAACTGCTTGTGCAGTCGGCGCCAAATCTCGAATCCATTCTCTGTGTCCCATCGCGAACAATCGCACTTCCTGCACCATCAGTGACCTGCGCCAACATGTATGCCAATTGTTTCGAGAACAGTGACAGTTGGTTGTTCTGGGCTCTCGTCTGTTGCACATCAAAACCTTCATAAAGGCCATCAGTGAACATTACACTCGACCAGTCCACGTCATCTATCATCAGTTTGGCAATCGCTTTGTAAAGTCCGACATATCTCTTCAGTTGCCATGACCAGTCTTTCCGTTTCTCCAACTCACCGTGGTAAGTGTGAGGAGGGAACAGTTTGATCTCTCCGCCGAAGTCCATTCTCTCACTCCGTGGTTCTGGAGCCGAAGCTCCGCTACCATGCAAAAGACAAGCACGACCACCGAGATCAGCCAAATCCCCCAGTGAAACACACTCATGCAGACATTCCTTTGTACGACCAAGCCAGTTCTGTCTTTGAGCCAATGCCATTCGGCATCATAGCACTCATAAATGCATCGTGAACATTGGGGGGTACATTGGGCTCGTGTCATTTAACACAGAGAGAGAGAGAGAGAGAGAGAGAGAGAGAGAGAGGGCGAGAGCGAGAGCAAGAGCGAGAGCAAGAGCGAGAGCAAGAGCGAGAGCAAGAGGGAGAGCCAGAGCGAGAGCGAGAGCGAGAGGGAGNNGAGAGGGAGAGGGAGAGGGAGACAGAGACCGAGAGAGCGAGAGAAAGAGAGACACACAGAGAGCGAGAGCGAGTGCAAAGGAGGGAGTGCGTTCACACAGAAGTTTGCCGATTTTTGTGTCGACTTCGCTCGAAGGCCTGTTGCCTGCGGCGCATAAGCGGCAAACACACCATGAATAAGCGCCTTCGCATGTATTCTTGTGATGAAAAAGGATTTCTCACTGAGAGACGAACTCTCTACTTCATTATTGTCGATACGTAATGCGACGCGGACATCTAGGTTTCTGCTCTCAACCTGTGCTGATTGCGATGCTCTTTTGCTCGAAGGCTAAATCTTTGAAATCAGCTCCTGAATCCTGTACAACCTGGTCTTTGCTGCTGATCTTCCGAAAAGGAAAGCTTTTTTGTTGCCTTCTGATTCTTTCTACTGTATTGATGAAGACTCTAGAGAGGAGAGCGAACTTCCACAGGATGCCACTGTTCTTTGCCACTTCATCCAAGCCACTGCAATGCATCTTTGGAGCACATGATTGGCATGCGGGCAGCAGGTGGCATCCCAAACCTGGGAAGCTCTGCTTCACTATACCCTCTTGTCGTGGGTCTTGGTGCAGAGCACCCACTAGCACTAGCTTCATGTAATACTGTGTACGGACGTGGATCAACACGCTTTGCTACAGGCCTGGCACGATTATTCAGACCCTCAACATGACAACACCTGCTCACGGTCCATTGAAAAAACTGCTGAAGCGAGAGGTATGTTAGACAGGGCAAGGTGCGTGGTCATGCAACTCAGCAGCGATTCCCGCCAGGGTATTCGCATCTGCAGTTTCGATGGCATGTTGTACTTCTCGGCAGCCAATGGGATCTTGGGAATACTCCCACACCTTGCCTATCACCTGTATTCCTAAAGGAGCATACTCAGACTTTTGTGCCTTGGACTCCTGGCTTGATTTGGCTCTGACATCCTTGGATGCGGTTTGTTCGAAGACCTTCGCAGTCACGCCTTTAGGCCGGAGGTGGTCGGGTAAAAAGCTGGACCACGGCGCTGCAGCACCTTGCTCGAGGCGGCCCAGCAGAACTTTCATCGGGAAAGTCTGGCGCCCAGACGGCGCCGACGGCGGCATTTGTTTCGGTCTGGCCATGGCCATGCATACAGCACCGGACACCGCGCACACACCGGAGATCTCCTACATTTCTGAGAAGCAGCTGCCCCAACACTTCGATTCAAGGACACAAGAGCTGCAACATGTGCATTGGCGATGCGAATTGAAGGGCGAGTGCAAAGCGCTCTCTTCACTGCGATGCAGAGCCGGTTTGCAAGGCTTCAGATGGATCCTCTTTGCCAATGGCCTCGGTGCCACAAGGCGCATGGCGTCCGCATGGCGTCCGCATGGCGTCTGGCCGTGTCCGTGGCAGGCCCAAGTCCGGCGCCACACGAAAGAGACGCTTGAGGGAGGCCGCAAAAGACCCGGGCGCCTCTGACAGAAGGGCACCGGCAGTGTGCCCTTAAAAGGGATTGTCTCCAAGCGGCCTCGTAACGGTCGTGACCTCCAATTCAACAAAAGCTGCAAACTTAAATTAAAGGAACTTGGCAGCTTGGGCAACCGGTGCCCACCGCCTACCTCCAGTTCGAAGCCACTCGTTCTCTCTTTCGAGAGCCTCCAGCGCCTCCAGCAGTCCCACGCGCCCGGTGGCCCCCCTTGCCCTCATAGAGCGATACATACTGGAGCGTCGAAAAGAAGAAGAGCAACTGAGCGGCGGATGACAAGTCCTTCATTCTAGATGTTCGAGCAACTTCGTCTCTTTGTTCCGTTTGCTGCAAAAAAACCGAGCTGACAAGCCCGCCTCGGATCAGCAGTAAGTTTGCGGGCAACAGAACGTCTGACAGGCTGGTTGCAAGGTTTGCCTGCTGCAAAGCCTTGAGCTCGCGCCGGCGGTGGAGTCGCGCTTCATCGACCTGAGCATACCGGTCAAAGGGTGAAGATTTTCGTAACCGGAACTGGCGTATGGCAGAGCATTCAGTTTCACAGATTCCACAGTGCACAAGGGTTCCAGTGGCAGCAGAATGCCAGTTCTAAATATATTAATATGCAGATATGGCTGCGGTCTTTCGGAATCGAAGTCCTTCACTGAAAACGGTGCATTTCTCGGAGACTGCGCTAGACCTTCCAACGTTCTTCGTTCGGCCTCAAAGTCCCAAAGACCGAAAGTTGCAAGCAATCTTGAGAAATCCGCACCTGACACGTGGCTGCCTTGCTTTCTGACATACGAAGGTGCTTGCTGAAAAGTCTCAAAAGCATCGCTCGAATTTGTCCGTAAGATGCCGTAAGCTTCTTTCCGTGCACGAGGAGCTACAGCAACGGAACGAGTATCAAGAGAGTTACACCGCTCTCGCCGAAGAACGTGTACAAGAATAGAACCCAAGACCCAAGTGCTGGATGAAGCAGGCTTTGCACGACATGGAATGAGGAGAATCCGAGGCAAGATACCTCCCCAAGTAGTTCTGCCAGTTCTATCTTTGATGCCTCAAACCAACAATGTTCATTGCTTGTGCAGCGAGATCCTTGCACACTTCCCTGCGGGTCCTTCAAGGCATCGGTTTCCGGACCGTCCCTGGCCCACTCCCGGCTGGCCTTGGGCCGCACAGCTCAGCTCAGCACCCTGGAGCTTCGGCTGCTTCTGGGAGCACCGCGGAGGCTGCCAGCTGCGCTTGTCGCTCGACAGCAGATTGTGCGGCTGCGGCTGCCGCCTCGAGCTGCCCCCGCCTGAGAAAGCAGCGATCAGCTACCTTGGCCAAACCTCCTCTTCAGGAAATCGAGTCACTGACTGGTCCAGTTGCGCCTCCAGCTTCTCTTGCAGCTGATGATGATTCTCCTCTCGTCGTCATCTCCGTTCTTTCAGGCGTTCGCATGTGTGGGTCCTTCAAGGCTTCCAGGGCCCGCTTGGCCGCGGAGGCCCTGGCGGCAGCTTCTGCTCGTGCGCCTTCGATGCACGCATAAAAAGGTGGTCGGCGGAAAAATCGGTAACCAGCACGACTGAATCGGTTATCAGAACGGCTGAATCAGAAACTAGCCATGATTCCGAGACCAGCCATGATTCGGAAACTCAGAACGGCTGATTCGGAAACCACGACGGCTGATTCGCAGACCAGACCGGCTGATTCGGAAACCACACCGTGATTCGGAAACCAGAACGGCTGATTGGGAAACCACAACGCCTGAGTCAGAAACCAAATGCATCCTTAAGAAACCAGAAGCCGTGATTAGGGAACGGTTCTCAAAACTCATTAGAGCATGGATGTCATCATGGTTGGCCCATGGATGCTCTCTTCTCAGAGCGCATTCGACCATGGACGTCATCATAGCTGGTGCATGGATTCTCAGAACGTAGTAGACCACCCCCCCCCTGGATGCTCGCTTGTCAAAATGCATCAAGCCATGGACATTATCTTGCTTGGGCCATGGATGCTCTGTGCTCAAAATGCATTAGACCACCTGGATTATCTCTTGTCAGATTGCACCAGACCATGGACGTTATCATGGTTGGATGCCCCCCATGGATGCTCTCTTGTCCATTTGCTGAAGACCATGGACGTTATCATGGTTGGGCCATGGATGCTCTGGCCTCAGAACGCATCAGACCAGGGATGCCATCATGGCTGTCTCTTCTCAGAACGCACTTAGACTCATTAGACCGTCAGGTTATCATGGCTCGGCCATGGATGCTCTGCTTTCACCACCCCAGCATTGCTTGGCCAGCTTCCAAACTCCAGTTTCTGATGCGCGCCTCCGGTTTCCGATGCGCGCTGGTTTTTGATGGGCAGTTTCTGATGTGCGGCAGTTTCTGATGCGGAGCCGTTTCTGATGCGCATTGTCTGAGGTACCTCTGGTTTCTGATAAGCAGTTTCTGATTCAAGGCCCAGGTACTGATTTTGCAACGGATCGCAAAAAGGTACCCGGTACCTTTGTTTTGGAAACGTTAGCCCCGTAGGCTGTCATAGCCCTGAGGGTCTACCATCTTATCCTCTGGCTTGGAAGGGCAGTTGCAAGTTCCAAGTGATATCTTCAGCCTGAAGCGGCCAACGGTGTGCGAACTATAGCAACAGTAGGAGAAGCGGTTGCCTGCAGCTTCATCAGCAAAGCTCTTCTCCTCACGACAGGACACTGAACAAAGATCTGGGAGTTCTGGCAGTCTGCTCCCAGGCTTGCATGGCTGGAACTGTAGCTCCTGCACAGCTTCACTGGGAAGCTTCAGCAGAGCCACCCGCAACGCGCGCAGTGCCTCGCAGCCTCAGGCACGACAAAGAGCCTTTATTTCACGCATCGACCGTGTCGCGAAAACTCGGCAGCCGGCGGCCTTGCCTTCTTGCCTGCTCGGCCTGCAACTGCTCCTGAAGCTGGGCTTTTGCATCCTACATCTCCTGCCAAAATGTTTGACTACAGATCAAGCGAAGAATCACCGTGGGAATTGAGTTCAGGATGTGCAATCGATTTCGGGGCAAGAGTGTAGTGGAGAAGTTCATACTGTGAGAACGCGTACTTTCCGTCCAAGCACGAGGCAAGTCGCGACAAATGCTACGACAAACCGTCACCTGCAGCTCTTCAGCCACGCTCTCCATTCCTGGGCATTTGAGGCGAAAGAGGCAAAAAGTTCAACTTCACAGCTTGGCGGCTTGGCACTCGGCCCGCACCGTCTGGCAGGCCTCAACTTCAATGCATGCCAAAGGCTTGACCATTACAGCATGCTTCGAATTTTCAGCTGGCGACTGGACATGAAGGCTGCAACCTCATCTGCGGTTCGGCCTCAAACGACAAGATAAGCGCGGATATGAACCATGCAGGAACAACTGCCACAGGCGTTCACCCATCTCCTAAAATAGGCCGTGTACTGTTGCCAGGCTCACCTTGACAAGGAATGCAAAGCACTGAGACAGCGAAGCACTCGGAAGATCGGCCTGCATAGGCACTCGAGGTAGAGCTCCTGCAGTTGCAGTTCGAGAAAGAGCCGTCAGCACCAAAGCCCATGACCGACCGGAGCAGAGGTGTGCAATGTCAGCCGAGACATAACAGGTTTATAACATTTTATAACTTTGTCTACACGACCAAGTTCCCGACTCGTTTGTCGAAGGCACCTGGAAACCTGCCAACAGCTCCAACTGAAGAAACCTTTGACACGATCTCCAATGCCTCCTGGCTCGAAGACTTCACGAAGTGATGCATCGGCCTCTCTGTCAACTTCACTCCACCAACAGGCAAAATCACCCTTCTCCTCGACGTCTCGCGAAATAAGGTCCAGCAAAAGCTTTGTGTGTTATGTGTCGGCGGAAGGCGTTCCTCACCAGCCCGAAACGAATCGACCAGAAAACACAGCTGGGCACATGAAGCAGAAAACTGGAAACCTAATAATTGTGTTGCCGTTCTTGCATGGAACTTCAAGGTGCATGCCGTGAATTCACCTTTTGCGCATCTGTGAAGGCATTCTGAGAGCTGTGTAGTGAGCATGTAGATCCACCCCGGAACCTTACTTAGCACGGCCACTCGGAGGCGAGGCTTGGCCGCTCGAAGTGCTCTCCAAAAGTCGAACGGTCCGACGTCCGAAACCCTTAATTATTGAGGACGCCCCAGCGGCCGCCTCGACAGCCCCAGATGCAGGAAGCGTCATGAATGCATCTGCTTCAAGACCAGCCATAGCACCTGCACTTGACGAGCCACGGGAGCAATCGAATACCGGAAATGCCTGAACCATAAGAGACAAGAACTTGGAGAATCGCTAGGACCTGAGGGTAAAAAATATCAGGGTTGTCGTCTTTTTTGGTGATGCTTCGTGCTGTTTGCTCGTTACATTGGTAAGGTCCAGCTAGCAGGAAATGCAAGCTGTTGGAAAGCTGCAATTGTCAGGTCCATTGTCAAGTCTCGATGTCAAGCAACATATTGATTGGGGAATTGCATCTGCCAAATCTACTCGCAAGTCTCGGCTTCAAGCAACGATTGGGGAATTTCAATTTGTCAAGTCCTGATTTCCGGCAACCAACAAGCCTCCTTCGTTTTCCGGCAAGCTATGCCCGAGTCATATTTGCATGTTTCTGCTCTTCGGCAAATCTATTGTTGCCCCCGTCATTGCACGGGTGTTTGGGTGCTCAGAGCATGTCGGAGACCGCCGGATTGGACAGCAGACCGGTACCGAGCCGTGCGTAGCTGTTGCGTCGCCGCGTTTCGGCCTCGAGACGAGTCTTGAAATCCAACCCTGGCTGGTTGGGCGCTGCACCTGCCGAAATATTGTGGAACCGTTGTGGAACAACAGTGGCGCGTAATCCGTAATACTAGTACTTGCAGGAGTCCTCTTGCTTATTCATCCCGAAACCCCCTCACAAGCTATGCCCTAGAAACCCGAATCTGCGTGGCTTCCGATCTATGTAAGCCGACTAAACGCATTTTAGCCTTGATACAACATCTCGCTATGACTGTTAAGCGGGGTCTGTTCTTGCAAGTATACGGACCATGGGCAGTATTCAGTTGTTGTATTCTGCGTTTTGTCAATACAAGGTTCGTAGCCTATGCTCAATAACATTTTCCTGCTTTCACGTGGATTCTTTTCTTGTGAATATGGGAATTCATGGTGGGGTTTCTAGTGTGAGACCTTGGAACCCCCGAAAGAAGAGCGACAACAGCACTGCCTGAAGCCCGAACATGAAATCGTGTCAAAAACCCACAGAAGCATAGGCTTTTGAGGAGGGAAGCATATACATTCATACTCATAATATGTATATCATATGTATATATACATGGACACCCCCCCCCATGACTTACCTCGGTCTCTTTTCCATGGAAAATCCGTCAGGAACGCGGGAATCCCGTTTTGCACCATCTTCATAAATGATCTCAAATCACGTCTCTTTACAAGCCTGTGTGCTCAACATGACATTCACCCAAATCGTGAGTGCCTTTGTATGTGTGTAGTTTAAGCATTAACAAAAATCATGTAAAGAAATCATATCACCCAAATCCTGCGCACTCATGTCCGCCTTAATCATAGTATACGCGTAAATAATAAGAGCAGGAACCCGTTGTCGCGGTCATACGACGAGCGAAAGCAACAAAAAACAAAGTGCATTTTTGGGGAAAAAAGCTTGTGGGCCCCTAAACCTTTGCATGTTTTGTTTTCCTGGGTGGTTTTTCTGTTTTCTGGTTTCCCCTTGGCTTTGTTTGAATTGTCGCATGAAGCCCAAAAAAACCTAAAGATTTTTTGGAACTCCTCCAAAAATCTGAAAATAAAAGCTAGAAGCTTTCATATTTCTGATGAAAAACAAAAACCCACTGGAATTTTCGGACTTCTCCTGAAAGCCAAAAAAATTCATGGTTTCGTTAAAACGAAAGCACAAAACATTAGAAAACCCACAAAATCCAACAGTTCCCGCGCTGCCCCAACAGTTCTGAGTTTTTAGATTATTGTTTGTTGGTGTTTGCATTTTCTGTTCAACACTATTTCACAGAACCCCAGTGACATAGAACGACAAAGACTGCGAGGGCACTGCAGGCTCCAGTAGCCGCAGAAAGCTAAGCCAGCGGAGACCGCACAAGCTGTAGCCGGAACAGGTTAGAAAGCAGCATTTAATGACAGTACCAGTGGCACAGTAGAGGCTTGTCGGCCAGAATCGATTGTCACTATTTGGGCAGGGATTTGTCAGCTTGGTTAGATGAGGAGGGGAACAGTTTTCAGTTAAGATTCGGGGTTTGTAGTCCTGGCCACCTATCCTTTATTTTTTGCAATTCAGCGGAAGCGAGTCCATATCTGAATCCTTTTTCGCGGCTCATGTACGGCCTCTGATGCTAAACCCTCCCTGGCGGGGATGTGTCGGTTCGAGGCACGCATTTAAGCTAAAACAACAGCACAACCGAGTGACCACTGACAGCACCAAAGCTCGCCTAATATTTCAGTATATATCACTTTCGGTAGCCGATCCCAGCAGGAGCCGCTAAAAATAAAGGACGGAATACAACTTTCGTCGGTGCTATCACAGGTCCTGTGTGGGGAGTGGGAGCAGTTATGGCTAGGCAACAGTATCATGAGCAGTAGCTCAGTAAGAAGTACTTATATTGGGGGCCATTGACAATGCTCTTAATTCTCTCCTGCCATGAACTGTCCTGTGGAAAAGTTTGAGCTCAGCTGCACAGCGCACAGCTGCCTTTCAGGGTTTATGGTTCAGCCTCCTGGGCGCGAGGGCTGATTGGTCTGCAGGCTTTATCCAACTATACAAGGCCCTAGGAGGCTTATACCCGCAATTTTGCGGTCTTTCATACGACTAACAGTACATGAAGCCCACCGGCAGAGGATGCTTTGATGATTTGCGGCGACGCCTGAAATTATACTGCATGTCTTAGAAAACTGGTTCTACGTAAAGCTGTATGAGCTCTACCACGTAGAAGCAGAACATAAAGGCAAGGGAATGCTTCATACAAGAAACTGAGCCGAGGAATGCTTATACTCGGTATTTTTGGGTGTGTAGTTAATTAATCTGGCCACATGCAGAAGAGGCTTTGGGGCAGAGGAGTACTTTAAATAAGGTGTTTGGGCCCGAACTGCAACTTTGTAATGCCTGCGGCTGCTAGCGAGAAGCTTTCGGCCGAGGATTAGTAGGATAAACCCAGTGTTGAAAACCTTTCCCCTCCCTCGCTTCCTTTAACCCCTCTCTGCGAAACCTTTGCGAATCTTCTGTCTCTGATCAGTTTGCAAGCTTCTCCAAATACCTGTTTTGGGGGGTGTTAAATGCGTTTGGGTTTAGGATTGACCTCCGGCGGTACATCTTGGAGGGGGTGCGGGCGAACGTATACATTTACATATTTACACACACACACACATACATATATACATATATATTTATATATAACACATTCTAGGCACAGCGGTGGAAAACGTTTAAGACATCGTACAGATGCATGCAAAAAGTGCATCCGTTGTATGAAACGTCCGTCATACACGAATATCAACATATGCACACAAATCTGTGTATCTATCTGTCTGTCTATCTACCTATCCACGTCACCATCCATCTATCTATCTCTTTGTGTACACACACACATATATATATATAGATATATAGAATATAGAGCTATACACAGGCATATCGCACTACCAGTAGCGTTTCGGACGAAGGAACAGATGGATTGTTAGACGAGGTGTGCTCCATGTACGAAAGTTCGCTTGTGGGAAGATGTAAATACTCTTTGCTAGCCAGATCTTCACTTGGCTTTGCATTCTCCGCAATCTGATCGGGCGATGCAAGGCACCTCTGCATGGCTGTTTAGCAAGCGTGCTGCAACTCAGGCAAGGGATTCTTCACCTCTTTTATTGACCATGTGCACAGGTACCTTAGGAGTTAGAAGTTCAGGTCGACTAAATGGGCAGAATCACTTTCGCAGGCAAGTACTCTGTATGACTCGATGCGAAGCCAAGGTCGGTGAAACAGTGAATCGCAACTGCGAGACCAAACCGAACGGAGAAAAATCACTACCGAGGAGCCCCTGCGCAGCCTGCAGGACCCCAAGCGTCCACAGTCTCGGAAGGCAGATCCAAAGAGCTATCAACCTCAGTTTGACGAGAGACGTTCGCAGGATGTGGAACGTTGGAAAAACCTGCTTGCATGTAAAGAACAAACTTTGATGTAGCCGGGCACCTTGCTATTTGACCGATGGCTTCAGACAGCACCTCACGGAGTTGTGTGTCCAATGCAGATTCCACCCTGGGCACCCCAAAAACGGCCACAGGAAACCGTGACAGCCTCACCAGCAGCAACCGGTGCTCTTGCCTGTCGTGTTCGGCTATCCGCAAGAAATTAAAGTCAGGCGATATTGGTGCACCCAGCTTGCGGCAAGCGGGGCAGTGCACAACCCACTGCCATCCGCTGGCCGTCGCTCGCATGTGTTGGCCACAGTGGCCGCACACTGCAAGTCTGTAAGCTCCAGGCTACTGCACCAAGAAAGTCGCCTTCGAAATGCCGGCGTTCGAAATCGTCACCTCACTCATAAGACCCATTTGTCAGAAGTTCGCGCAGCAGGTTCAGCCTAGCGATACAGTGTTTGTTGGTACTGGCGTAGAACTACCAGTGGGCAGGCTCGCAAGAAGTCGCGAGTGTCTCAGCCCAAAAGGGACAAACGTCTTTTTGACATCGGCTCGCTGGGTGCCGATGGCGGACTCTTCCTGACACGGAAGCAACCTTGGTGAGGAAAGAAGCACGTTCATCCAACAAACTCAAAGTTGATATCGGGAGACCGAGGAGCAATCTCAAACATGAGAAGATTTTTTCTTGCAGCCATAGAGGGCCATGGGCGGAGTGCTCCCGCAGGATGGAAGTCATGTCAAATAATCCTCGACAAGCAAGCAGTGGCATTTGATGGTCATCATTGCCAGTCACCGCGGTAACAATAGAACTCGTCATCGTCACCCTGCTACAAGAGTACGTTGAACCTTCTGCTCGCTTCGTAAACACAGTGTAGAGAAGTGCAGAGACATGCTCAAAGAAGACGGACACCGTTACCAATGACACTGGCAACGACGGACCCAGAAGTTCGACATCTGCAGCAGTTTACCTTGTGCAAGGACGACACGCTGCTCACAACACTTGCAGTAGCTGCAAATAAGCATGCACTTTTCAAACTGGGGACGTAAAATTCGTGGGTCGTCAAAAAACTGAATTTGCATTGTGCCTTTGCACCGGGACTGCTGGATGCTCATGGACACTTGCAAAGAAGTCGCCTTGGTCGTTGCCTTCGAAACCCCAGTTCTCCAAAACCGGCTTCTGCACCTGCAAAGGAAAATTTGCAGCTCCCCGACAGCTCTCTTGCACTTCTACACTGTCCATCTATGCTGGCCCAACCCAGCCACCTCAAACGCAACATCATGAAGCCGCTCAAGCAATGTCTGCTGGTCGCCAGATTCCTCGATGCACTGTCGAACTAGATCCTGAAACCAAGGTTGTGAATATCCTCTGGCAAGTTCATCCACGAAATCGCCCGTCAAAGTCAAGGTCAAATCCTGCACGAAGCTAAAGACATGCATGCACTCGACGCAAGTAAAAAACTGCTACTGCCCAGTACATGACATTCAACCGAGTGACAGAAGTGCGCTCCCATGTCGAACATTGTCGGTCTGATGCACCATTACATGCCCCGCCAGGCCGCCGACGAGCAGCATTCTCATCCATCAGATTCATGCCCTGAAGAAACATCGCATGTATGGGCAGTCAGTTAACCCGCCAAAAATGTCCACGGCTTCCTGTTGCCAAAACAAGCAAAAGAGATCAAAAGAGATACTGAACATCCCCATGTAGCATTCGCTTCTGCAGCCAGGAAGGGCTTCGTTGGTTCACAAAGGCCACTTCGCTGGAGCAGCTGCTCTTGAGCTGCCACAAGCAAACTCAAGTGATGTTCACGGCTCCTGCAACCGAAACTCAGGTGTTGGTATCTTGCGCAAGGACTTTCGGCAAAACCCATACAAAACCTGATACGAACCTCGCACCCGAACGCCAGCAATGTGTCAGCACACTGAACTCATCCCAAGCCTTGCTGCGGCAGGACCGAAGCATCCAAACCTACTCCATGACCGCAGAATGTGTCCAGTGGCAATTAATCGCCCACTCCCGGGCTACAATTCACACGCTACAGAAATGTTCCGGTAACTCATAACACTGTCCAACACCCGACACGACATTTTTCATCCGGCTAGTCCTGTATGTTTGTCCCTCAAATTTATCTGCAGTCGACATCTGCCTTTGAGTGGTCACTGGGCTCTTTCAAGAATCGCTTGCAGGTTCCTTGCAAGTCATGATTCCGTCCTAGCCACCACACACTTTTTCAGGATTAGGTTTTGTTTATGCCTTCCACCACAGTAAAAAGTTTCCAGTTGGCAACTCTTCTGTCTGATGGATACCGGTTACAGAGACACTCCTGCAAACACATGCGTGGAAGGCCCTTCACGCCTGAACAAATCAAGGAAACTACCTCTTGCACTGTCGGGGAAGCACTGCCTGCCACCATCGCGCGGCCTTCATCCGTCTTGCTAGCTAGTTAGCCTTGTGTCGGGATCCAATGCAAAGGTGGTTTGCACACACTCTTTGCATCAAGACATGCTTGATGTCATCATCAGGAGCCTTCTTTGGCCCGTGCCGGCCCTGTCTTCATTCACCACCGAAGCGGCCTATTTGGCCTATTTCGATCTCCTGCTATACACTGCTGGCGCCTCATGCGAGCAGCGGCGGGAGACAATCGATAGTCATATGCCATCCTTTCGCAAAACTCCTGGAAAAGATCGGGCTCCTGCTTCCTGTCCCCCTGCATGCCTTTCCATCGTTTGGTCTGTGGCTTCATCGAAACTGTCCTCGACTCCTCGACATGACCTTTGCAGGACCTCTAGTTGTCCCACCTGTTACCTCTGGCTTGCTCGAAGAGGGCAGTGGACTGTAAGCCTTGACAAGGCACCACATTGCTCGGACTTGCATGGCTAGTCAGAAACCTGCAACGGTTCCCCATGACAGGCTTTGTTTGGCTCCTTGTTGCAAGCTTCCATCTTGACTCATCCACCTCGTCCACGTGCTTCCGCCTTCTGCACATCCATCTCTCACGAAAGGACACTACGGATATTCCAACGACTTGTGGAGCTTGATACCCCAGCATGGAGGCCCAACGACAACACTACCGTTTCGCCAGCAAGCCGCCGCGAGTTTCGTGCTGTCGCCGAGGAAAGCCTTGCACCGGGCTAATTGGTCAAGCTCATGAGCTTGCATGTTTCCAGCTCTGATGCAGATCTGTGCTACGAGAGGATGCATACTGATTCGCTGACATCCGTCGACTCAGTACTCTGCACTGGCTCACACTCCGATGACATGAGCTCGCGTTGAACAACGAGGTCGGGTCTTCTACGAAGGATTGGCATTCAGTGGGCCAACGAGAAATGAACACAACGAAGGTCGTAATGCAGTATGTTCTGCGAAAGCTCATGGACAGTCTGCCACTGCAACTTCAAGCTTTAAGGGCTTGTAAAGTACCTTCCACGCCTGCTAGGCTGCTAGACACAAAGCCGAGGAGCAGGAGGACAGAATGAAAACGGGCGTATGGCTTAGGCAGTTGAGGGCTTGAGATGTGATTGCCGAGTTTTGGGTGGTCTCCAGGCTATATATATATATATGGTGGGTTGATGAAAGTTGAGTTTTATGTGTCTTCTCGGAGCTTGATAAGGATTCAGGTGCAAGGCTTAACAAGCTCGGACAGTGTCTGAGTCCCCGGCTTTTCGTGAGTGGCTGGACCGAGCAGCTCTTGCTCTGCCTAATTTCTCTGAAGAAGTGCAGAATTTGCAAAGCTGACTCCGGTCCTCGTCAAGCTCTTCCGATCGTAAGCCTTGCTCCGGCTAAAGTTTGTCTGACACCTTTCTTTGCAAACACAAAGAAACTGGTCGTGCCTTCTACTTGTCGGCCTTTGCTGTGATGCACGGATTGCGCGCACCCAGCCGGTGGTGCTTCGACCTGAAAACTTCAAGCACAATTGCAACAAGCCTTGCCATTCTGGCCGCAGACGATCCGAAGGGCGATCTATCCCTCGTTCTCTCTTTTGCTACAGGCTGCGTCAGCTAGCATCGGCGGTTTACTCAACTGACTCAACTATAGAACTCATGAACTGATCAGTATTCTCTAGGACAGCCTTGGCCAGTTCTTCTGGTGACACTCCACGGCAGCCAGCCACCACCTCCAAGACTTGCCTCATCTGGCACGGTTCGCACCTGTCCTTTACACACTTACCTTCTTCCCAACGCTCAGGCTTCTTCACCTCCTCCCACGAGCTTCGAATATACCCATATCCGGCATGTGATGGCTTGATGCCGCACCAAGGTGCGTCCGTTTCCAACAAAATGCGATTTTGTGGCAAGTCCTGTACGACAGCCAAGTTCTCTTGCGTTTTCAATGAGCAGCCGTTGATACCTATGAAGAAGCCCATCGACATAAATCTTCTCGCCTCTTCCAAACTGCCATCGAAGCTGTGCACAACACCTGGACGTTTTGGTAGTGCATGCTTATGTTTTTGCAGAATTCTCACCAAATCCTCGGCTGCCTCGCTGCTGCGGCAGTGCAAGAAAAGGGGCTTTTGCAGGGGGATCGCCAACTCCAAGAGCTGCTGCTCAAAAAATTTCAACTGCACATCGCGTCCACAGAATTCCAAGCGGTCATAGTCTAATCCACATTCACCGACTGCACAGCAGAAAGGAGCTGCAGTACGCGCGACGTCTAAGAGTGCGCGAAAATGAGCTTCCGGGTCTGTCTCAAACTCAGAGCAACGAGTCGGGTGCACCCCAACCGTGCAGCAAAGACTCGGCCAACCGGCTTCGTTCACGCTTTTCCGGCAAAGCTCCAGTGCATCATGGCTTTCCTGCAAGCTGCCCGCCGTGACTATGATGCGGGTCACCCCAGCCTCTTGAGCCCTGCACAGAACCGCAGAAAAGTCCGGGGAGTGGCGAGCCTTGTCGCGGTAAACACCTTGGAACATGGGGTCCAACAAATTTGCTCCAATATCCACTAAGGTGATGGATTGGGCGGTGGCATCAGCCGTCATCTCGCGAAGTGCTTGTGCTTGGGTGCTTTGTGTCTCAGCTTGATCTCTTGCACATGGTCCTGCGAAATTTCGAGGAAGGTACCTGTACCGCCTCACTCCGCTCGACAACTCATCCCAAGCTGCCAGCACGGCCATGACGCTTGACAACCTTCTCAGCTTCCACTTCATACGCTCTGCTGTCAAAGAGCTAGGACGAAAACCGCTCGTGCGTGCGATGATACACCTATGTTGTTATGGCTGCAATAAGTGGTCGCGATTACAGAAAAATCGACTCTTGGCAAATGATGCTGCGCAGCGCACATCATCCATTGATCACTGGGAAAAGGGGGCACGACTAATCTGCACAGGACCGGAACCGTACTACTGCACTGCACAGGCTTTCTACCCGACACTGGATTGCCTGATCAATGAGGAATTTGTCGTCTTGCTGGAGCACGGTCGTGTGTCCGACGAGGCCCGCACTTTACGCTTCGTCTTCGCCTTTGCCTTTGCTTTGGAGACTTTCTCGCGCCAGTACCTCTCCTCGGTCAAGAGATAACACAATTTGAATACGGTTCAAACAGCTTGCTGCCAAACGGCGAAAACACAGCACATGACATGGACAGAGGCAAACGGAGCAAGCAAAAGTTACCTGCCGTGCCGGGGCTCTGCTGTGTCAGCAAGCAGACCTTCGTGGCCAAGGCTGAAGCCATCTTTGGCCATCGTCACGTCCACATCATGCACTCCATCTGGCCCCACTCGCGTAACGAGTCAGAGGCAGATCAGCTACAGTGTTGCTACAGAAATCAACTTGGGGGGGCGATTTTGTTTGACATTGGGCTCTTCCGATGAGGGGAGCTCTGAAAAGCCGAAACACCTCCGACAACAGAAAGCTTGTAGACACAATGTTGACACGTATTGCTCAATGACTGGATCCGTGTGACATGCATCAGCAGACTGATTGGCAAGCCCTCGGCAGCCGACCCCAGTCGTTCATGACCTGGCCCGCCCTCATCGGAGCACCAACCTACAGAAAGAACAGCAAAGTTCGACTGGAAACACGACTTTGGCGTCAGGTTCGACGAAAGCGATGAATCAACAAGAGCCTACAGCTTCTTACTGAAATATGAAGAGTCGTATCCGTCGTATCCCACCCAAACTCTGCAAACTGAGGATGTGACCATGCAGCTGACAAAATCCCCATCAAAATGGCGCCTTTCGAAATCATCGCCCCATTCCTGAGCACACAGCTGGCAGGAAGCCAGCGAGCTGGTACTACTACCACTCGCACTACTAGTACTCCTAGTACTACTCGTACTACTAGTAGTACTAGTACTACTCGTATTACTACTACTACTACTACTACTACTACTACTCCTGCTGCTGCTGCTTCTGCTGCTGCCGTTTATTGGTGGTGGTGCTGCTGCTGTCGCTGCTAGTGCTCTTTCCCCTTGTGAAACCTTCCAAACCCTGAACCCTTGACCCTAAACATATAGTTGCTGAGGCCGCTCCTTCGAAAGCCGAAGCCTGCCAAGGAAGATGAGTAAAAATGATCGGAGGAATATCCTCTTTTTTACGTTTGGCCAGCCTGTGCGCGCAACTTCGCACGGGAGTGCCTTTAGGTGATGCTCGATTGATCGACATCCATGCAATTAGGACTTGCAGTCTAAGACGTTCCGAAGAAGCTGCAAGGGCGCAGCTGAAATGGCCCCTGCATTTACAGCCCTTCATATGTGTGCACAGCTCGGCTTCATCCCTAACCCTGCTATGCCAGGTTCGAAGAAACCATGTGCAACAGCCGAGTTCATGGCAGATGCAGTTGGAGCTGGAGTGCCAGCCTTGGTTTGCAGTCTTTGTGTGCTTAGGGTTCAGGGGTTTCTCCAGACTAAAAGCTTCTAGCTCCAACCCCATGCTCCAAATCCAGATCCTGAAAATCCCTAAGCCCTAAACCCCTCAACCCTTTATATAAACCCTAAACCCTATACCCTTCAAGCCCTAAAAGTTCAATCCCTAAGCTTGAAGTTGCAGCAGTCAAAACCCGGAAGATTGAATCCTGAAGGACCGGCGACACACTGAGGCTATATGACTTATCATGCAGGGTTCAAGGTTTAGGGGTTTAAGAGTTTTGGCTTGTGGGTTCCGGGTTTAGGGTTTAGGAGTTTTGGCCTTAGGGTTCAGGGTTTATGGGTTTAGGGGTTTAGGAGTTTTTGTTTTTGGCTTCCGGGCTTGGGGTTTAGGCTCACCTGGGAGCCATTGACTTACACACTTGTTTTGCTATGCACTGGTGAAGGCCTGTTAGTATGCCAGCGCTAGCAAAGCTTTTGGAACAGGAATCATAATACCCTAAACTCCCTAAGCCCTAAACCTTCAAACCTAGAGCTAAATCGCTGCAGATAGCTGGGATGAGGTGGCCTTAAACGAGGTGGTGCTCATATTCGGGTTTTGTGGGCAATCAATGGATTTGGGCTAGCAATCCGGGGGTCTGGGAAGATTGCATACAATTCTCAGTCTTTTTCTAGTAGGTTGGTTCTGTGGAGCTTCTTGTGCTGGAGAGCTCCTTCGTCTGCATAATACATGACAATGTAATGCTACACCCTCGAATGCCCTGAAGCTCTATGTGTCAGGCCCATCAGTTCAACAGTGACCGGACTAACTTTGTAATAACGGAAAATGCTATGTGTAGCTGATGAACAAAACAAACACTAACAAACCCCTGAAGCTCCAAGCCGCAGGACTCAAGGCATGCACCAGGTATTACATGAGGTCAGTGGATAATAAATAATATAGTCTGAAGTATTTCAGGTCTCATGGTTTTGGTTATTAAGTTGATATAAAACTTATAGACCTACTCAATGTCTGTGGAATTGTTGATGAGGTAGGGCCAGGTTTATATATGTGTGTGCTATACAAGTCAGTGTCCGTTCTCTGATCTCATGGTGCTGCATTGCTACTGCCCTTTCTCTACTAGACTCTCATCCTCTCCTATGCCCAGGCCCAAATAACAGACCAGTGACAGTGTCCCAAGTAAGAACTTCCCTTAAGCCCTAAGCAACACCCATAAGTTCATCGCTGTCTTCCATAGGTTTATGCTGACCCCGAATTTCATTCTCAATCAAATAGCTGTGCTTCTGTTACAACCGAAACACCTCAACCTCATGAACCCTCAAAACCCAGGAACATGACAGAAAAAAGGAACCACCACAAAGTAATCTTCTGCGCTGAGGTGCCCTGCAGCAAGATGGTTGGTCTTGCGAAGGCATTGGAAGCCGACGGCTTCTCGGCCTCGGGCCGTGGCTGTGAGTTTGTGCAAAAGGTTGCGCAGGTTCCAAGCAATGATGCCGAGACAAAGATGCATGAGCTGATGAAAGCTTATGGTCTTAGCCTGCCCATTCCTGTGGAAGGCATTGCAAGCAACACAGCTGTCCAAGGGTTTCCCCGGCTAAAGCCTCTTGACATTTTTTCATACATGGCAGAAACTGGACACTTGAACAAGCTCCTTGGAGGGAGAACCCCAGATGCTGCGCAAGGGCTGCTGGCTACGTTTTGGAACAACTATCAACAGATACATCCGGACTTCGAGCTATTTGAGAAAGATGTTCCTTTGGAGGACTGCATCCCCATCCTGGCACATATAGATGGTGGGAGAGGTTACAAGAAGTCGGAAAACATGATATTTGATTGGAGTGCTGTGATCGGCAGTGGTTGTGGGAAACGCTCGTTGAAGGACCCAGCTCTGCGACCGCTTGGCAAGGCTGGCAACAAGCTTCGACTGGCCCTTTTGGGTCATTCCTACAAGAGCCATTACTTGTATGCTTCCATGCCAGCTGCATGGCATAAGTCGAATGAGGAGGCCTTCCAGGGCTTGCTGCAGGCGTTTGGTGAAGACTTGCTTCAATGTTTTGAAGAAGGTGTATCTTACAAAGGCCGAGTACTGAGACTGGTGGTCTTAGGCTTGAAGGGCGACCTCAAGATGCAAGTTCGTGCTGGACGACTTACCCGATGGTATAGTACTGCTAGAAAGCGACCCCAGAACCCTAACAATCCCTCCAAGGTCTCAGGACAATGCTGTCCCTGGTGTTTGGCTGGGGATGCCAGCCTTCCTTTTGAAGCTGTTGGGAGCCCGACGCCAGCATGGAAGGTGCATCTCGAGCAGAATGCGCCAGAACCACCCTGGACAGTGCCAGGGGCAATGCTTGTATCTTCGCTTGGGTATAAGCAGCAGCCAGCCAAATTCTACCTGCCGGACCTCTTTCACATCTATTTGGCTGGTGTTGGGCAGGATTTTGCAGCATCCTGCTTGGTGTATATGCTTCCTGTTTGTTTTGCAGGTCCTGCGGGGGACAATTCCGTGGAAGCGCAACTAGAGATCTTGACCCAGGCTATACATGCATGGAGGAAGAAATCCAAGGCGCCACTACACTTGAGTTCCTTCAACCGGGACAAGCTTTCCTACCACGACAATACAAAGAACTATCCTACTGGAACCTGGTCGAAGTGCGCGGACACATCGACCATTGTCAAGTTCGTACAGCATGTTTGCACTCTGCACCCTGACAAATGCCGCCTGGAAGGAGACCCGATGATGCTCTATATTCAAAGAGCTTGCGACGCAATCGGTTCCTTCATGATGGGTCTTTACAGCAGCGACTTGTGGATTGACACCCTGCTGCATTCATTCAGGTTCCGACAGTAAGCTTCATGGGATTTTACTTGCTAGTACTCCCTAAAACCCTAAACCCTAAACCGCAACTTGCAGATTTTTTTTACAGATGTTTCAGTCCAGCTGGCTTGGAGAGCTATGGCTAGGTATTCCTTAAGCCATACAAGTTTCCCAAAATAACCCTAGTCCCCCACACACTCAGAAGGTTCTACTAAGGCATGCTGGGTTTAACTATAGTTGTGTTCATGTTCTTACCGAAGATAGTGCAAACTTTCTTGTCTCTATGTCTGTTGCTTCAACAAGAACCCAACTCAGGAGCCATCTGAAACTCGAGATATCATTGCATCTGGCAGGGTCTTTTTAAAGACCTATGTTCGGCTTGCTTCTCGGGTGCTCAAGCTTGGACGGCCCCTCTTTATATACCGTCCCAAAATCCACTACCTGGAACACATCCTCGTCGACTTAGACGATGCGATGAAACACGGTGCTGCTGCGCTAAACCCATTAGCATATTCATGCTCGCAGGCGG